GAGAGGAAGTGAGTCCAAATGAAGGGATGCTGCTGGACTCCAAGACACCTGGCTGGGAGTGGGAAGGAGGGCAGCCCGGGGGTGGTTGAACCTGAGCACCAGGGGACAGGCTGCAGAAGGCAAGGAAGGTGCAGGCAGCCAGGTGACAGGTTTCTGTTTCAGTGACTTGGCTCCTGGGAAGTGCCACTGTCCTGAAGGAGGAAAGTGGGAGAAGAAATATGTTTGGGGAAAGGACAGTGGAAAAGTACATCTAAGCTCTTCGACTGAGATGCAGTGGGAGCCATATATTAGTCCATGCTGGAAATGTCGAGATCACTAAGGGACAGTGTCTGGGAAGAGGACGACAGACTGAAAAGTGCAGCCTGGTAAACCCCAGAGAACACCCATGGGCTCCGTGAGTAATTAACAAACACGTTACGTGTGTGTAAGGGGCACGACTCGCTTCAGTCACTATGCATCCTGCAGAACACCAAGCGTCATGAGATTCTTACCTTGAATCAAATCTTTAGCCTCTTGGGATACATTCTTCCAGGCTTCTCCTTCAAAGGAGAAATCTCCCTTTTTAATTTTCTTCATGATTTCGACTGCGCTGGTGCACGTCAAACTTCTGTCATGAGACTGGAATGGAACCTGCCCTGACAACATTGTATACTATCATGGAAGAAAAGTAACAAAGCAGAATGACTGTCGCAGCCCCTCCAGTAATCCTACTGCCAACTTAATTAGCACAACTCACCAGCTTTTACAACTAGCATTATTTGGTTTAAAAGACCACATGACTTCCATCACTGAGGTTACCCCACATTCCAAAGACTTGTAAACAAAGTGGCATGAATTTTTATGATATTCAAATATAAAACCATTTTATTACTTCAAAGTACCCCTTTATCCAAGGGGCATAGACTTATAATTTTAGTTGATTATCCAGTAATCGATTTCTGTTAAGATTAATTTTCTGTCTACAAATGACGTGGTGCAAAACAGAGACATATCTACACAGAAATACATATCAAGAATTGCATGTGTATGCAGAAATAATCTCTGTGTCTGTGTACATGTATTATGTATGTCCATAAACATATGCATACACATAAATACATTGTAAGAGCACACACACAAGGGAGAATCAGAGGAAAAAAAAAGCAAATGCAGTGAAATACTAGATGTTCATAGTATTTTTCTCTCACGTCCTCTACTTTTGAAATTTTCAAAATAAAATTTTTTGGGAACAAAGTAAAAAACAAAAAACAAAAACTAATGTCTCCAGAATAAAATATTTAGGGGAAATATATTTTAAATGGAATTATGTGCTATATCACTGGTATGTTATATATCCTGTCCTATATCTCCTAAATACTTTGTGTTAAAGAACTAAATTCATATGTTGAAGTCCCAATCCTCAATGCCACTGTACTTGGAGAGGGAGTTTTTTGGAGGTAGTTAAAGTGAAATTAAATTATATAATAGTGTCCTGATCCAACAGGATTAGTGTCTTTAAAAGAACAGATACCAGAGAGAGCTCTGTGGAACCTTGTACCAGCCAAAGGCTTTGATGAGCACATGATGAGCAGGTAGCTGTTTGTGACCCAAAGGGGGGCCCTTACCAGACGCCAACTCTACTGGTACCTCAATCTTAGATTACCCAGGCTATAGAACCATAGAAAATAAATCTGCTGTTTAAGTCATCCAGTTTGTAGTATTCTGTGATAGCACAAACATTAATATGCTGTGTAACCTCGATTTTAATTAAGCCCTACACATTCAGACTGGGATTATACTTCCACAGCATATACTGGGTTGTAATCAAAGCCAGATGAGGGCTGGGGTGTGGCTCAGTGGTAGAGCGCTCACCTAGCATGTGTGAGGCCCTGGGTTTGATCCTCAATACCACATAAAAACAAGTAAATATAAATAAAATAAAGACATTGTGTCCAATCACACCTGAAAAATAACTTAAAAAAAGCCAGATGATACTACAGGATATATTTTCTTGGAGTACTTATTTTACTCAGGGTAAAATAGTTCCTTTTCTTAATAAAATACTCATATTTACATCTATTAGATGGAAAATGCAAAAGGGTCACACATTTCTAAGGTACATCAGGAGACGTCAAATAAATTTTGTGCTTGCTATGGGATAATTCAGGCTTTGTATTCTAGATGTCTGGAGATATTCATTCATTTATGCAAAGCTTTCTCTCTTTTTTTGACAGTCTAAAGAAGGTGTTAAGTTTTTTCACTTTCATCTTGTATCTTTAAAAAGCAAGACTTTTTAAAATTATAACCACAGTGCCGTTATCACACTTAAAAAAATTAGCAGTCATTTCTTTGTATGTTCAAAATCTCATTGTGTTATACATATTGTGGGGGTGTATATATATTTTAATAACACCTGTATGAATTACTTTTAGAATTTGAATTCAATACACAGAATTTCGATCTTGCTTGAATCAGGATTCAAGTAAAATGTAAACATTATTGCTCAAGTGTCTTTTAATCTGTAGGTTCCCAAGTTATCTTTTCTTATAATTTACTTGCTTGAGATGTGGGCTGCTAAATGTTCTCTCTGATATGCAGATGTTAACACACAATAAGCAGGAGGGAACAACAGAAGCTCATTGGATTAGACAAAGGGGAATGAAGGGAATGGAGGGGGAATGGGAATAGGAAAGTCAGTAGAATGAGTCTGACATAACTTTCCTATGCTCATATATGAATACATATTTTTACTAGTGAAATTCCACATCATGTTCAACTGCAGAATGGGATCCTGATTAGAATTTGAGTAATTAACAAACAAAATATTGAGAATACTTTTTTAAGGTTATACTCCATGTATGTATGTCAAAATATACTCTGTCATGTATATCTAAAAAGAACAAATAAAAAAAGATTTTAACCCCTCAAAACTAATAAATAAAAATCAAGCAAGTTGGATGTGACTAAAAGTACAACCCTATAATCTCATTTCTGAGACATTAACATCCCCAATCCAAAGACTATGAAAATTATATGAATAAAGATATCCACTCAAGATTATTTATAACAGCTCATCAGAGTCAATCGGTACCAGCAATATTCCCTCATGGGAACATCAGTAAGCCTTCCCAGCAAAATAAAGATCAAAATCAAATTTAGTATCATGTTAGATGTGGGCATGATACACACTGTAGTTATACTCTTATAACTGAAAAACACGGATATTATAAGAAATGGAAACTACAAAAAAAAAAGTGGTTTCTAAATTGCCCACAGTCTGGACATTTTGACTGTCCTCTGCTATCACTTACCCTGTTTTATATCCCATTTTTCTTAAAATGTGATAATCCCATCTAGTGGGGCAGCACTGCTTCCATCCATACCCTAGGGAAAGTTGCTTTCACAGAAATAACACTTGGGCTCTAAGATACCTCTCTGCACGTCTAAGACTCTTAAACCTTAAGAGTTTGCTGGTCACAACTGGCCTAGATTTAATGGAAGTCTCTTTTTCCAATGGAAAAGAAAAGTGATACTAGAAATCAAAGGCTCTTTTTTATTTTCATCAGTTTTTTAAAGACATTGCTGCTAATGAACATGCCATCAATTTAAGTCCATAAAACTCTTCAAACCTATAGTAGATTTGTTTTTACAATTGTTTATAGTTGTTTCTTTTAAAACTTTTTTAGTTGTAGATGGACACAATACCTTTATTTATTTTTATGTGGTGCTGAGGATCAAATCCAGTGCCTCCCACATGCCAGGCAAGTGCTCTACCACTGAGCCATAACCTCAGCCCTAGAGTTACTTATTTTTACTAAAAATAATCTTATTCATAAGTACATTAGTTTGACAATGATAAATGATGATTTAAAAGTGCTCAGATGAAAACCAAATAAAGCTTAAAATAAAGAAGAACCATCCTGTAGGGACAAGTGGCTGCCATTGGGGGAGAACAACTGACACCAAAATAAACCCCAGATGGAGGACAGATTGAGGCACAAAAATAAAACAGTAATGCTGGAGGAAATTTAGGAGACTACTTTTAAAATCTTGCGATGAGAGCAGGGATGGAGTGACAGCCTGACATCAAAGCCACACACCACATAGGGAAAGGCTGACACATCAGGAAAAAACTCCTCTATTTATAAACTTCTCTAAAAACAAAATCAGAATTCCATATTACTATAAACAAATTTTTCTTTTAAAAATATTTTTAGTTGTAGATGGACACAATACCTTTATTTATTTTTTTTTATGTGGTGCTGAGGATCAAACCTGGTGCCTCATATGTGCTAGGTAAAAGCTCTACCACTGAGCTGCAGCCCCAGCGTATAAACAAAGATTTCAAACAAAGGGTAAACTAGAAAAACATATCCAATATTGATGGCAGACAAAGGATTAAAATCCTTAACAGACCTTTAAGATTAAGTAGAAAAAATCTCCCTATAGACCAATGGGCAAAGCTCATAAGGAACAATTTATAACTGAGAAAATACAAATGTCCAAAAACATGAAAATATGCTGAGAGTGAATATTCATCAAAGAAACACATGCTAATTATAAGAACAGTAGGGACTAATTTAAGATTGATATGGACAGCATTCAATGTTCTCTCATACAGTTGATGGGAATATAACCTGGTGAATCTTCTAACAGGGAATCTAGGCATCCATGTTGAAATAAAGATGCACCTACCGTCCCCTAGGAATCTGTCTTAAGGAAATAATGAGAAAAATGCAAACATAATGTGCAAAATATTTACTTGTGTAGTTTATAATTAGTGAAAAAATGGAAAATGCTAACAGATAATTATCAAAGAAATATTTAAAAGAAATTTCACAGACTCAAACTACATGTATAATATAATCCCATTTGTTAAAAATTCCATACACAGGGATTGTAGCTCAGGGGTAGAGTGCTCGGCTTGACGTGTGAGGCACTGGGTTTGAGTCTCAGTGCCACATAAAAATAAATGAATAAAATAAAGGTCTAACAATAACTAAAAAAATATTTTAAAAATTCCATACACACACACATATATAAAAACATACAAGATACACTGCAACTGGGGGACATGTGCAGTGGGGGACTGAGGGTGAGGGAAGCTTGCTCAACATCATCTTTGAGTGGAAAGGTTATGAGCAACTTTCACTTTGTTTCTTGCATCTTTCTGGAATATCTCAAAATTTCCCTCTAAGATCATGTACTATACACTACATTCAGAAAAAGTAAAGGTATTTTGAGGCAAAAAAATTCTGAGATTTTTTTTTTCCCCGCTTAATGTTTATTTTCTGATTACATCATCTAGGCACATTTGGTGAAAAGCATGCTCACCACAATTGCTATAAATTATCACAAATATTTCTAGTTTGATCTATTAATTTGTTAACTTATCCTAAATGATTTTCTTTAATTACATTTTTAGTCTGAAGTCTCACATAAGCTCTTGCAGTGTTTTTGTATTAAAGAGTCACTCTACTACTTTCACATTATATCCAATATGTCTTATAAAAATACATTCATGCTTCTTTTAAAAAAAATAACATAACTCATTCATATGAAATAGGTAACTTAAATATTTCAAAATAAACCCAGTTCCAACATTTTCTCTAGTGTAAGTTTTAAGAAAGGGACATATTCTTTGATAGGCCTTCTAATTGGCTGTACAGAAAAGAAACCAATTGGCCATTTTTCTATTTTTTTTTTTTATGAATTCAAGAAAAACAACAGAGAGAGAAAATTACAGAGGACACCTAAGAACTGACCAGGTTTAGTGGCTCTTCTATGATACTCACCAAGATGACACCCAAGCTCCACAGGTCACAGGACTCATCGTAGCCGTTGTGATTCAAGAGCTCCGGGGCTGCGTAATGAAGGGTGAAGCACGGGGTCTTCAGGGGCTGATTGTCAGGCGGCTTGAGGCGAGCAAACCCGAAATCGATAACTTTAATTTCCAAATTATCATTTTCATCAGTGAACAATAAATTCTGCAAGATACCAATACTTCAGTTGGTTTCTTATTGAAATGTCAGAGGATCTGTGATCCCATTCATGGAGCACATCATGCACAGGGAGAGGGCTCACAGGGAGTGTTTTGGGGCTGCATGTCAATGTATATTTTATACTTTTTATACTTTTCCATTTTACAATGTTGGGTGAGGCATTTTT